CTCCCCCCGCCTGGCTGTACCAGGGCTGCTGGGTTCAAATGTCCTTGGGTGGTCACGCTCTGCCCTGCTCGGTGCAGGGGAAGGTCCCTTTGGGTGACAGACGCCCTCGCCGCAGAGGCCCCCAAAGGAGGAGGGGGTGTCTCGAAGGTGGCCGCCCTCCGGCAGCGCAGTGGGACGGGACAAATCTGCCGGCCGGCGCACGGCACAGGCGAGGGACGTTGGGCTGGGCTCCTCCACTGGTGCCCGGTCCCTGCGGGCCACAGGCATGGCTCTGCCGCCGCGGCAGCACGGGTGCCACTCGGTGCCAGGAGTGGGGATTCGGCTCCCTGAGATGTCCAACTGCTCCAAAGCTGCCTGGACTTGGAGGAGTTTCAGCTCCTGCAGGGCGCCCATCATGCAGTTCATCTGGCGAGGGACGTTGGGCTGGGCTCCTCCACTGGTGCCCGGTCCCTGCGGGCCACAGGCATGGCTCTGCCGCCGCGGCAGCACGGGTGCCACTCGGTGCCAGGAGTGGGGATTCGGCTCCCTGAGATGTCCAACTGCTCCAAAGCTGCCTGGACTTGGAGGAGTTTCAGCTCCTGCAGGGCGCCCATCATGCAGTTCATCTGCTCGTGCAGCCCGTCGCCGACCTCCTTCATGGAGAGCTGCGGAGGGAAGGAAGCAGACATCGGGTCAGTGCCTCCGTGAGAGAGAGAGAGAGGAAATTTTGAGCAAAGAGCAGGAGAGCTGGGCTGAGCAGCTTTCTGGAACATCGCCTCTTCCCATGGGCTGCATTTTAGATGCATCCTACCTGTGCTACATCCATTTTATGGAACAGCAATTGGATTTTTCTTAAGACTTTTCTAGGAGTTTTCCCTCTAGGAATAAGAGGAGCTGACAGAAAGAGTGGATTTTTTGACCTGACAACAAAAATAAATACCTCGAGTTTCTATTTAATTGCTTGGCAGAAACCCAAGGCGTAGAACTATGAATGGTTTTGGCTGCTGCCAGTTTTAGCATATTCTTCTGCTTTTGTGTCTTTTGTGCCCTGTAACTAACTGAAATCAGGAGTCAGAATAATGAACACAAGTGCCTTCCACAGAGAATCTCGTTTCTTTACCTAAAGTGCCAAAGTAAATTAAACATAATCCCCAGTAAGAATCGCATTGTTACTGTGCAGAATGTCTTCAGATCTTAATACCCTCATTACCGGCACCTCTTGCTACAGGCCACTCCAAGACATTTCAATGCACTTGAAATTTTGTACTAAACAACTAACAAATGCTAAAATTACTTGCATTAAACTAGCAAAGTCTCTGATTTCTGAGCGAAAATCTTTAGTAGCAGTCCTGCTTTATCTCCAAACCTTGCTATGAAGATTTGACGTTGGATACTAGACTTAAAACGAGCAAGTTATTTTCCAGAGCTGCTAAACTCCCCCCTGTTTGCTCTGTTGCTTTCTCTCATGTAGGATCTGGATCATATTCCTGAAGCGGCACCATAAAACAAACGGGCTATACTTTCCAACAGCTGCTACGATTTTTTTTTTTTTTCTTTTCAGCAGGGATGGAGGGGAAGGGGAAGGAGAGGAGAAGAACAGCAGGGGATGGCAGGGCTGGAGGTGGAGACATGTCACATCGCTGTGAGGTGGTTTGCAGAAGAGATTACCACTGCCTAGGAAAAGCTTCAGCCTACGCTGTCACAAACAGTTTAAAAGGCTCATCACAATTTTTGTACAGCAATAACTCTCAATCTTAGGCTGAAAAAGGACAGATGCATCTTATGTTCAGCTTTAAATTAGCAAGATTTATGTTTTCACATCTTCATTCTAACCAACCACTTGCTCTGTCTCTGTTTCTGTATGTGAATCTGACCAGTGAGAAAGAGCGGTCAACAAAAAAATGGATCCTCTAACACTCCAGCTCCACAAGTGGCAAGATCCTCAACGCTTTCTGACCACAAATCTCAGTTTCAGAACCTGGAACCTAAAAGCAGCCAGCAGGTTACGAAGCTTAGTTATCACGCGGAGTGAGCACACAAGCTATGAAGATACAGAAAATCTATGGTTGGCTTCAGTGAGAACCCCCAGTTATCTAATTTTTTAACATCAGCAAATAAACCTCTACTTCTGCAGACATGGAAATAACACCCCGCTCACAGACTGACCGAGCTCTTGTGTTCCCCTGCACAACAGTCGGGGCCATATGCTCTACGCGCCTCAGACAAAGCTATCACCTTACCTCTCCAGATTTGCTGTAATGCTTCTCGTCCTAACCTTTCTCGCCTTATTACTGCCAGTCTGTTTTATCTGGGGCTTTGCAAAAAGCTGGATTTGGAGCCAGCCTGGCCCCTTATTGGCCGCTTCCTACCAAATCCCCTGCCGGGCACTGTCATCGCACCGTGACGAGGGTCTCACCGTAATGACGGGGCTGAGCGAAGTCTCGGTGTGTGCTGGGTGGCTCCGCTCTCACCTCATCATTCAATTTACTCCCCAGGATGGGGGGGACCGTGTGCCTCACCCAGCAGGGCTCTAGCAAGCATCAGCATTTCACAGGCTGTGTTTATCATCATCGTGCTGGTTCCACACAGGCAGATCCCTTCTCCCCCCAACAAGAGAAGATCTGACCATCTCTTTCTTCTGGACAAATGAGCTGCTTCTGCCAAACCTAGCACCAGCCTGGGGAGCCTGAGCCACTGGAGAAGGAGTGGGGATGTTTCCATCTGCAAAACTGCTTTCCCAGTGGGTGACTGAGGTTTGGACACTTGTTCCTGAGTCCCAGTGCCGAGGGCTGAGCTGAGCCATCCCCTCGCAGCCGAGGGGGAGAAACGGGGACTTTCAGGACGTGATTCTTCCGTCTGGTTGCAGTGACCTGCTTTGGGGTGGGACAAATCCTGCCCTCAGGACGTGACCTCAGCATCCCTCTGGCAACGTGAATCCCACAGCCAGCAAGACAGATTTTTAAAGATCCTGGGGCTTTTAACTCTGCTTACCAACACTGCTAAAACTTCAGGTTTTGTGAGTTCAAAAACCAAAGCAAATCACCCCCCTCTCGCTTTATCCCTTGCTCTTCATGGTATCTGTTCAGTCTCTCACAGAGCTGAGGAGTGAGTGAAACCCAGCCCAAAGCAAAGTCACCAAACAGTCTGCAAGGTCTTGGATTTCACCCACTAGCAATTACTCTGTGGTAATTAAGAGTACTCACCCTGGAAAGAAAATTCTGGAGGAAAAAATGCACAACAACTTTCTTCCCCAGTGTCTAACAGCCACTCTCTCCTCTTTGCCAAGAAGATCTCGGTTCTCCCAAGTTCAGGCTGGCTTCTCTGAGACTCTCCAGAAAACAAACGATCTCCCACAGAAGAGAGATGACCACCCTGGCAAAGGTTCAAGACTGAACTATCTGAGCTGCTGGAGGGAAAATCATTTTTGTGAATAATCCAGCAGTTTGGGCTGGAAGTCAAACAGATGCTCCAAGTGCGAGGCGATGGGAACTCGAGGCTGAAGGGACAACCCTTGCAGCCCCACTGGCTCCGTGCTCACACACTTCGTGTAGAAGGAGCTGGGATTTGTGGTGAACTAAAGTGCAATTTCAAATGGAGCATGAAAGTGACACAAAACCCAAGAGAACCTTAATCTGGGCAGAGAGAGACCCTGAGCGTGCTCGCTGGCATTATGCAAGTGACGTTATGTAAGCAGGCCACCATGGGGCATCAGGAGATGTCCTGAACTGTGCACGTTTGCGAGCTGTGCATCCCAGACCTGTTGTTGAATCAGCCCCGTGCTCAGTTGTGCTGCAGAGCCCGGTGTGGGGGAAACAGTGTCCACAACAAAACCTTCCATCTAGCACAGACCTCGCTCGCCAGCATCCCCTCGTGCACCTGCTGCTCTCTGCTCAAGGTGCTCAAACAGGTCAGTATTTCAAGGGACTCTGGGTCTCTTAATTTCAGATACTTTGCACTTCAATACAAGTGGTCGGTTGATGCCTCTGCTTCCAAGAAAAGCCACATTAGAACTATGACAACTTGCAGATGTTTAAATTTATCTCTATAAAAGCTAAAGACCAGATGCCTCAAACTGCACCTCATTCTTATTCCTGAAACCTTTGCGGTCCTTAAAAACTGGCATGCAAAGGGGAGATTTTGCTTGTCGCTTCCCACTTCCCAGGCAAATAAGCAACTTTTTAACCCCACTTTTGGAACTAATGTTTTCCTATTAGCATCTACATTCATGGAATTCTCAGGATTCAGTTCCCACCGCTGCCCAGCTGCCTGTAGCCCCAGCCCACCCGCACATCTGGCCTGCCCAGGGCTGCAGTGGCTCTGTGATGCTCGTGGGAGAAGAGGAAAGCCCCAGGGAGCACAACACAGCTTTCGGCTGACACAGAGAAGTGAAGAGAAGAGCTCTGAGCTTGTTTGTCGTAACGAGGAGGAAGACAGATGTCCAGCTCTTGGGAAGAAGAAACGCAAAGAGAGGAAGTTATTGCTCAGAGGACAGGAAAGAACAAATGGCAAATAGTGGCTCTTAATAATAGTGCTGAGAGGCAACAGGACCAGCAACAAACAATTGGTATTTAAAGAGGATGACATAATAGAGACCAAAATTATTTTAGAACTGCTGAGCTGATCATATTGTTTCTGTGTTTTCCTTTGGGTCACTAACTAGATTAATCTTCAACAAGCCAGCAATTGTGGCTGGGCATAACTCTTTGGAGCGTGCGGCGCGGCTCACAGAGAGCTGCTTCCCAGCCTGGTGCTGCTCCTTTCTTTTCCTTCCCTTGGTGGACGCCAAGGGCCTGCAATCTTCTTTTGGCCCTTGCGTTTTGTCACAAGAATTTCAAGTTTCTTTTTTACTTCTTGTCTTTCTAGCGTATTTTAGGTGTAAATGAGGATGTTAACTGTGAGCTCGCAACTTATTTGAAAGAGGAAGGATGCTGAAGCATTACCAAAATTTTTTTTTCCAATAGTTGGAATAGGTTTTAAACAGATGTTAACCGTGAAAGACACGGTTCACTTCACTCGATTAACTATCTTCCTTACTCAGTTGCCTTCTTTCCCACTGCAATGACGTTCTCTGCTTCCCAATCACTATGTTTAAAGGCAAATTAGAAAATCAATTCTCTACAACCAAGAAATAAAAGGACCAAAAAGAACTCCAACCTTCAGACTTTTTACTCACAGCCCAGAGACAAGACAGATCACAAGCCTCAGTGTACAGAGAGACCGCTGCAGGTGATGGCTAAGAGTGTCAGCTCTCAGCCCTGGGGACTGCTTCACTGGGGGATCTGGTCCCTTAATGTTCCTCAATACGCCAGCTGGGAGTCTAAAACAAAAGAATCCACCGTGATCTTTAGGAGTCTTCTCTGGAAATAAACAAGGCGACAAAGCCTGTGGCTGCCTTTTTCTCTCCCCACGGTGTATGTGACAGGATATCTGCTGTCAAGTCACTCCTTTGCACCTTCCCTTAAGGCAACACCAAGGAAGGAGATTCTGGGACACATTTCTAAGCTGCCTCCAGCAGAGATGGGTAAAGTCACCCTTAAAGGGACCTTTTTACCAGCAGAGTCACCACCGGAGCTGCGTGTTTCCACCTGTTGGAGCTGGGAGCAGCGATGCTGGCCCTCGAGGGCTGTCACTTGTGCCTTACTCTCCTGCAAATCACAAGAGCTGC